AATAATACCAGAAGATAGTAAATTGTCAAACTCACGTTTAGCGAAAGCTAATTTGTCCGGTGCCAGTCGGCGTGGTCTTGCCGTGACTGGTGGTCCGCGGGTGACTATGTGGTGTACCACACGATTGGTCACCGATGAAATCTCCTCGAATGGTTTAGTTAATCTGGGGAATTTCTCGAATAAGGCGTGGAATTTATCGTCACGCGAATAAAAAGTTCCGAGGATTCGGTACGCGTACATCGGAGTCTATTATATTAATACTATTCTTATCGTTATCCGTCATGTCAAATATATATATATTAAAAATTAATATGAAAATATATGACAGACGTGGATAGATAAGCGATAGACTCACCAAAACTGACTACTTTGGAAGGTTTGGTTGCGATTGCCAAGTGGTCGTAGATGTAGATTCACCAGTTGCAGAAGATTTGACCGAAGGTGAGGCGTGTTCCAATATTTGGGTCACCAAATGTAGCGTGGTGTCGAGTTGAGCTGAACTATGAACACCGCTACCAGACTACTTGCCAATAGACCAATAAAATTCCGATAGGCCAAAATATCAGAAGGCAGATGATTGTAGTAGTCGTATATATTTGTTGGCGATCTCGTGGTATCGAAAGAATACCGAGATCGTGCCAAAGGAGTACAGTTGCGATCGGCAAGATAAGATACGTGCGTAGTCCAAAAACCGCGTAAAAGCAATGGAATACAATGGAAGCCCAAAATGGCTGTTCTTAGCACAGTTAAACAAACGAGCACAGTAAAACAGTCACTGGTACAATTGGTTATAATAATAATTGTTTTCATCGAACCAATCGTGTTCTGTTGACAAAAGTAGGTCACTACACCATCAATTGAGTCTTTCTTGCTAATGGTTAACCATAACAGCATATCACACGACCATTACTGAACCAGGGCTGCATTTAAATCAAGCTGTCTAAATCATATTGCATCGACTACATATCTAGTTACCTACGAGAGCATTTTTTGGATTAACGTGAGGTCCTTCTCTAGAACGGTTAGTAGTATTGTTGAAATTAAGAGTGTCTTTAAGATTTTATCGTTACAAAGTATGTGTTTACTATCCTTTTTCCGAAGGTTTGAATATCATGCACTCAATCATCCTTTTGAAATTTACTACATGTCTATTTCAAGCTTATATAAATACATGAACAATAACAGCGTTTTCACAAGTTTTAAAACTATTAAGTCGAAAATCCTAATAGTTAACCAACGGCCCGTCAAAATCTGAAATTTTGCTTGAAAAATATCTAAAAGAAACTTATTTTTATTGATACTGAGGGAGAAGCCGCCCTAAAACCAAGCTCCGACAAACGCCACTTGCTTGCGAACGACAAAACAAAGATGGTTGTCTCTCGTGTTCAACATCAGTTAGAGCCACTGAATTGGCCTGGAGAGACAAACTTTTGTGTTAGCTCGCTTCATTTACGCTGTAACACTGCAATTTCTGGGTAGTTTCATATGTCTTAGTTAAGCCAAATATACCTGTGGTTACTGCAAGCATTTATAGAGAGTATAAGAAATAGGACTATTACAAATAGAGATGTCACGCTGCACACACATTGAAAATAACTATACCTAACACCACGAGTATAACGTGCAAACAAACGACCAAATACTTGTTTTTCAAAAGTAATAACAGTGTTGTAGGATGCACACAAAATTGGGATAGAATATTCTGGGTACAATTCCATAATCTCTATTTATGCACTAATATCAAAGATACATTTGCTGGAAGCACGGCAGCTTTTAAGAAATAGTAATAGGATAAAAACTGCATCCCGTTTGGTTTGTTTACTATCCCAGACAAACTGTTTTGCATGCACAGAAATCAGACTAGTGGAATCACAAGACCTCTCCACTGATATTGACCCTAAACTCCTTAGCGAGGTATGGGAATCACTCATGTTGTCTCAAAGTAGCAAACGCTCAGGGAAAACAGAAGAGATACCTCTAAAAAATGATGTAGTTAAAATGACTATGAAAGTGTGAAAGTATATATAATAATAATAATATATTTCTGCATGAGCAGGTACACGCCATTTTTACAGGCATGATCTACAAATTACAACATTTGTTGGAGCATAGCATGCTTCCTAACTTATTAAGTTTATAGTTGTTATAAAGTAGTCTCGTAGAGCGCTTGTTATAAACCATGGCCTTGAGTTGACGCTTACGTCAAGTTTGTTCCAGACGTTAGAAATTTCATAGCTGTGCCCTCGGAGCAAGATTCTGAAGAAAATAAAAAGGAGAAACAGCAGAGCAACAAGGCACTTGGATATGGACTCCAAACGTTGCTTAACATTACGTAGAACAGACAAAGGTAGAATAAATTAGAATAAATTCATATTATCTCTTGTTAGAGTGAAATAAAGTCAGAGGCTCCATTCAAGAGAATGTAGTAATAAAGAACAATGAATTGTGATGTTTAACAAGTTGGATTAAGCTCATATGAAGGAAGGGAAGTTAAGGTTGGTACAGGGAAAGTTGTTTATTAGAAGGGAGTGTGCATATAAAGGGTGAAGTGTTGAAAATATTAATAACTATATCTTTTGTTGTCTGATTTGTTCTTTCTTTTTTCTCATCCGATGCCAGCCACACAATCCATGTGTAAAAGTCCGAGTTAGCATGTTATAGGTTGTCTTAGTAGAATAGCTACTCCAGAATAAAATTGAAAACATGAGTCTGAGTGGTGAGCGTAGGAAGATAATCTATATCACAGATTGATTGACTTATGCTCAATCATAGAGAGCCTGATACATACAAAATGTTCTGCCCCACAAACACGGGTGGATTGAAGTCATCGCCCTCACCATCAATGCTTGCTGGTCAGTAACTCCACCCTCCCTCCTTTTGTGATGTTAGGCTCATTTAAGCTTATTTTTGGATATATATCATACCTCACACAATCCTCTGTTTCACAATCTTTTGGAAAACACTATTTCTATAAGTACCATTTTACAAGCTTATCAGGCAGTCTTAAGTATTTTGCGGGTGAAGTCTCGTTGTATTCCTTCCACCTTTAGTATATCAGATAGGCGTAGGTTGGAAAAGAAGAACGAGCAGTATTCAGCGATAGGTCTTACACAAACTTTATAAAGAAGGATTTTGGATTCATTTTTATAGAAATTATGGAGAATGAAGCCAAGCAATTTCCGCATTTTAGATACTTTGGCTGAGATGTGTTCAGAGAAATTAAGACGTTGTGAGTAGTGTACCCCTAAGTCAGTTACTGATGCCAGTCTGGACAGTGTGTTGTTGTTAATTGTTAGTTTTATTTTGAGAGACGTGTCTCCTATACATAACCAGCCGCATTTCTCTGTGTTGAGCTCTAACCTCCAGCGTTTGCACCAGTCGTCTACTATGTTGAGTTCATGTTGGATTGTCTGCATAGTACTACGTACATCCCAAGTGTCGGTTTTATAGATGACTTTTAAGTCATCGGCATAGATGTAGGTCTTACAACAAGGTTACAGCACGCTTTCATAACATTACATCTACAAAGATAGGTTTAAACAAATTACTCCACGAAATTCATCTTCCTGAAGCCTTAAAGTCGTTTTTTGGCACCTGATACACTTTGAGCCGCGAAAGATGGTTTTTATGTATGAACACTGTCAATTTGACGACATGTGTGTAGCGGTGCGCACCACTAATTACAAACAATCTTGTAATATCGACACTGGTGTAAAGTTTTCCGTTCATATGCTTTTCTTACTTACAAAAGTGGCCAAACTTAAACCACCTGGTTTTTAAACAGACATATAAAAAATACCAAAAACGATTAACGTGAAATTCAAAACTATACACGGTTATTAAACAGTATGCTAATAAATAGAGAACTCAGATTGTGCCATTTCTCTAGTTTTACAAAAACATTCCTAATTCTATGCCTACTTCTGACGATCTTCTTAACACTGTCTTTAAAGACCTCGGAAATGGTTAAGAACAGCTATTATATTCGTATCCATTGCATAAACGCTTGGGAGATGCAAGCAAAATTTTGTTCACCCAACTTGTTTGCAATACCTTTCAAACGAATTTACTGTACATACAAAAAACGTTCTTGGCAAATCTGAATAAAACTATCTACAAATGAATAATTGCTCAACGATCGGTGTGGAGAAAACAGTTAGAATATCCTTCATTGGATAGTCTACAGGAATCAAACCAGTCATCATTTAGATAGGTATTAACACCTTTCAGGTACATGTGTATTCACTGGAAACGATCTCTTGGAAACATTGCGTTTGTATCTAACCGTCTACTTGCATAATACGCTTTTTTAAATTTTGGTCAACACCGTTAACATGATAAATGAAGTCATTTTAAATATAAAATCTATATTGAATTTCAAGTTCGCTCCACAAAACATCGTTTTTTTACGGACAACCACAACAAAATAGCATTCTGTTTTTCCGAAAACACCGAGTCACACAACCAGTTCTGTTAACTATAACATTTTTAGTGGAACAAATTACTTATATAATTTCAAAAACTTGATTCAACCCAACCTTTACTTCACTTGCTAGACTATATTTAAGCTTGCTTGACGAAAAATTCGCTCGTGGGCCTTTCAACAAAAAAAACGAATAAACAAACATCCAAACCCTATTTTTCGACATTCTGAATGTGAATCGGCAATAAGAATATCAACATTTGAAATTGCCGGAAAATTTCTGAGCTTTTATGCGCAAAATAATGTGATGTGAGAGTGTTCAGTAACGCAAATATAACGCTTAGTAGATATTTAATGCCCAAACAGCCCAAGTACCTTTAGATAAACTCACTCAGTTACAAAACACATCAATCCATAAATAACGACTAAACTGACAAAAACCAGTGTACTCTTTAAATACTGGATCCACTGAATTTTATTAAGGACCTGTGGCCGCATCAAAATAGTGGGGAAGAAACACAGTGAATTCATTTGGTTTAAATGACCTCTTTGTAATGTTATTGGACGTTTCTGGAACCGCTGATTTCGTTATTGACGTTACTAGTCACATTGTTTTATATTGGGTATGGTAAGTTGTGATTAAGATTCAAATTTACAGTACAAGTTAACACGGTGTTTTTCAAACCTCATATAGTAAGTCGGTTCATTGTAGTCCTTAAGCTTCATTTAAAACGAGTATTAACAGACTCGAAATATTACTATATTAACTCGTGGTTATGATTATCAGATTGTCATATCCTCAATTTTTTTGGAATATATTCTTAACAAACTTGAAAATATCTTGCGCGTTTACTGATTCTTTGGCTCATTTTACTATTCAAAGTCTTCACGTGCTGGAGTACTTCAGCAACACAAAATCTTTGTCGGATAAGCGCAAACCTTTCAAAGTTTGAACGTTCCAAAATCAAGGTTTTAGCATATCTATACACATAAATGCTCAAACATTTTTCCTTTGTAAAATCTTGGACATTTAAAAAACAGAATCCATAACAACGGAACTCTATGTCATGTACGACGTTTGAGAAATGCTCGAATGGTTTCGCTCCCACTCCTTACTATTGTCGAAATTCCAATCTAAGTTATTGTGATAAACTAGTGCCAGTGGTTCGTGTTGTAATTTACGGTTACGGACCAGATATCAGGTCTCCATTCCATATTATATTCCCAAAATAATAGTTAAGCATATTGTAATATACGGCGTTTGATAGTTTTGACTTTTACTTGAACGTGGCTTTTGTGATGAGTAGTTACAAGGGATAGTCTAAGAAGGAATCTAGTACATGCGAAAGATAGGAAGAAAGTAAGCCTATTGGTCAGTAAGCTCATAAGATGGACTTACATTTGGATATAAAAACAATAAATAACAACTACGAATGACAAGCATGAGTCTAAGACAGTCCTATAATGGGAAGTAGAAGTTATTATCTTTAGCTTCCTAATGGGTCAGTATCCGGGACTGCGTATGTTGTCTGATTAGTTTGTCCATGAAATATAGTTCTAACAATGTTTGAAGAAACGGAGTCTGAAATGTAATGTGGAATGTACTAAAATCATTCTTACAAAATATATCTGCCAGTTTTTACGCACAGGAATTTTCCGTATATTAATATTTAATATAAATTGGGGAACGGCAACGATTTAACCCACTCACTATACGAGGGCTTTTTGCATTAGTTGTGTTACCTAACAGGTAAAACTGTCGTATAAATGTCGATAACTTATTAGCTTATTTATAATACAGAGTAAACAGAAAGCAAACTTACACGATTATAGGTTGCCGTATTTTTAATTATATATGTTTGATGTAGTCACTAGTTCTCGACGATAGAATGGCTTTTCAGCTAAATATCGACACTTTAATTAACTGGCATAGTAATGTCAATGTTTGCCTAAAAACGTTTTTAAAGTACAAATTTGATATATGTTCGCAGGAGTTCTTTCTTTTTGATTGATTTTTACGTTGATTCGATTCCCGATAAACGTTTGTTATCTCCTCTTTTGTTACAGGTTATAGTATGGCTGAAAGCTTAAACATTAACTTCATTCCACCAAAGTTATATATAGCATGCACTGGGCAAATTTCTAGTATGTGTAATCTTAAATTCAAATAAATCCCGTAGATTATGCCAAAAACCAAGCTTCCTGTTTAGGGAAGTTGCGAAAAACTTGGAATTATCGGAATAAAGATATACTTATATCCCATATGATATACATTCGATTCAAAAATCAACTACACAAATTTCTTTTTTTCAAATCATTCTCTTCTGTAGATCTTGTTTGAAATTGTAGATTTTTTACAGGTTCGACGCAGTCTGGCACAACTTTGTGATGGTCCTATCCTAAATGGGATTTCAAATTTCTGTACTATGTCCTTAAAATGTAAAAGTGAACATTGTGTGAGTGGACATACTTTGGATCATGCACTAGTATGCCTAATTCAATTGTATAAAAAAATAGAAATATTGCTTCTTCGTTTGAATTCCTGCTGGAGGTAATTTGTATTAAACATATTTACGAAAATTATGTAGGTCGTGTGAAGCACAGTTTACTACCGGACACTTTACTAAAGTCCTCTTATTAATAATGACAGTACTTTCAGGTTTAAGGTAAGTTAAAACCTGGTATGAATATGGGTAGAGTTCAATCTCTTAATTCTCTAGATGAGGTTAACTGTTGTTATGGTAACCTCTTTGCAGTTCGAAGATCTTTAACAGATACGAGGACTTGGGTAGATTCTCTAACTATATTTAATTGATATCTTAGTTACCATCTGATGTTACACTACCGTCTTCATTAAATCACCAAACAAAACCACCAGCAACAGATGTGAATAATCGCGAAATGTATTGTTTACAAAACCTCCTTTTATGTCATTGTACTTCAGTTTAGATTTTGGTGAAGTTCGAACTAAAAATATCCCAAAGTTTTTGACCGCAAAAGGAACTCCTGATAATTCCGATTCTCATGAAGCCATAACTTCTAGCAAACCTCTTGCTAACAATGTAAGCTATATTCTTATTTTCCTTAATTTACTTATTCAGAACAAGAAAGTTAAAAGACTTAGTGCGGATACTCAACGTTCACTGTAAGTTACTAAGCATAATGCATTAACTTTTTAGGACTGCAATACTTCCACGCACCACTCAAAAGAAACAAGAAGATCTTCTTTCTGTACTTCTTAACCGCAGATAGCATGATGTCTGAGATTATTGTACAGTTCCATGATCAAATATGCACCTATTTGTATTATTTTTATTACTTTCTTATCCAATGTAAATAACTAAATTTTTGGTTTATTAGAAAATAAATTTCTCTAAATGTTTTCTTTTTGTTGGGGTGGGAGTAAAGGATACTTCTATAGGCTTCTTAGGTTTCATTTTACTACATCTAATCATATATTTTCATTGTAGAGCAACAAAGAAATTTAGTATTACGTTTGGTCTTCTCATTACTACCTTATAAATGCGAGGCAGGTTTTACTTTAATGAATATGGATCACGCTTTGTAGGTAATAAATGGATTTTGGTACAAGGGGGCGCCAGATACATATGCGCCACACAAATCTCATTGGATTTGTGTGAGGCCCAAACCGAATCAGGTGGTCTTAGTGGACCACACCCAAAGCCTTCGACCTAAAGGTCTGATCCAGTGGAACCTCTTAGCTTATCTGTGGCAAAATACGTGTGTATAAGGTTGGTAGTTCTGACAAACGGTACTTCGTGCAACCGAAAAATATGACATCTCTGCGTTGACTAGGCCAGCCATATTCGGATGAAATAACCTTAGAACAATAATGTAACTGACGCATTTCATGATTATGAATGCTGAAACTTCACAAAGTACAAGTCAAGACTAGACCTCCATGATGATCAGATTACCGTACTCGTAAAATGAGACAATATTGACTGGTGATATAAGACTAATTACCAAACTCTGTCAATGTTGGCACCACCGCGTGAGCATTGTTAAAGTTAGACTAGGAAAAGTTGGTAAATCTGACAACTGTGAATGTTCATCAATTAAGAAGTTTGGACATGTATTGGTTACATCCAACCAGTGCCTATTTCGAAGTGGATTGAAAGTGAGCTAGGGGTTGTCAAACGGGGACATCAGTTCATGAAGTCATCCACTGTTGGTGCAGACTACCTGGCTGGGATCTGCACAAAGTGTGGTAAATAATTAAACACGTTGGGTGGCATGACTGCCGGTCTTAGTAGTGCAGATGCATCCACTCATTGTTCTCTAAACCCTGTTTCAGAACTTCATCTCGTGAGTCACTTACTCTTGAATAATATTCCTTATGACTAACCCCTTTTGTATCACAAGTATTACTTTGCTAATGTTCGTTTAGATATCTCGCTATCCCGAACCGGTTCGGCACCAGGTTCTCCGTCGTTTATGACTGACCGACTCAAATAACTTGATTGAAAACCTGTAGAGTCAAATTATCAAGAGCTGGTGCTTCCTCATACATTTAGTTACGAACTCCGCAACTAGGAATATTATGCCTAATTAAAATCTTGCATTTAGACTATCGGTAATTAAACATCAAAGAATATTAAGTACCTTTGAAACACAAACCACTTCTGGTTTCTACGTAAATAGTTACAAGGTAGCAAGAGACTAGTCAAAACTACCAGAATCTGGTAATAAGGATGAATTGGAGAATTGATGTTATTATAATTTCAGACAGTTACCGAAAATCAAACTTGGTATATGGTACTTATAAGCCTGAGTGACAAAAACAGAATTTCAAGAAGAATTAATGAACAGTTATCGACTGTATATGCGAAAGTAGTGTTTTTCATTGCTTCTTTTCATAATAACATACTAAATTCAAAATAAGGTTTTTGTTAAAAAAAAAGCTGAGGGAAATATTGCCTGGAATTAATAGTATCAAACAGGTGTTCACAATAAAGGAAAGATTTGACACAAGACAGCGAGGAACTAACAAATACTAAATTAAAGTAATAAAATTACGATGGACAGAGTCGTTGTTTTACATAAAACCTATGTTATGTACGGATCTCAACAGGTGATCATATCAGTAGTCATATATTCCTCAATGAGTGCCAGTTGTCTATAAATATGATCTTCTTTGATCACTTCATAAACATCTGTAAGATAAACTTACGCATTTCCATATTTATTCTCTTACGAATAATAAAGTATTATTGTTGTAATTTTAATGACCCATTCGTATAAATGTTGCTTGTAATACAGGAAGTAGCATTTTAAGGAGGAATTCTTCAGTATTTCGATACGACAGATACATAATTTAAAATCTAGCTTGAGATACACTTATCAAAGCAACAAACGCTTCTAACTAGTGAGTTCCCAGTAAAATAACAAACAATTTCTCGTCTAACAAAATCAATGTAATTTAAGGCAAATTTCTGGTCATTCACACATACACATCAAGTTACAATAAAAAAAAAATAGATTTAGTAAAAATGAACATTATTATATCAAGCTAGTGAATGTTTGCACATGAATAACTTTCTTTAAGGAGTTTCAAAAATTGATTAAATTTAGAAAACAACAAATAGTTGTTAGATTAATTGTTCCTTTTTTAGAAAAAAAAGATTACAAATGACATGGACAGCTTTCTCATTGAGATATGTTAACACAGAAAAGATTAATAACAAATAATAGTCTTCTCCCGTAGAAAATCACAGTTGATAAGCAAAAATAGATATTATGGAATGTAGCTTTGATAATAAAAAAAATTACAGACTAATTGCAAATAATTATAACTGATAATGACATGTCAGTGATGGCGTAGTCGAGAATAGCCCAAATTCACTTGTTATGGACTAAATAATAGCTATAATAATTCACCCCCGAAAAGGATTCATAATTGAGACACGACGAAGTACTGATTCAGGTATTGGTGTACTTGAAACTGGTGGCATTATAATTTTTGCAATACCTTCAAGATTATCCAGAAATATTTTTGGTGTCAACAAGTGTGTACCACCAAGTACAACTTCCCAGTTCCAACCAACTCCTCCACCTGGGATTGTTGAAATATTTTCTGTGGTAGGTGTATTTATTTTATTTGTATTCTTGTCACTAGCTGCAAGACGAGTTTCCACACACTAACAAAATAGGTTAAAAATTATAAAGGCCATTTATTAACTTTATTATTATTATTAAAAAGTAATCCACCTCAAATTGACATAAAATTCATAAACTGTTGTTGAAAGTGACCAACAGTTTTAAATGAAATACAAAATTGAGACGCTTAACATTTCGCACCTTATTTAAACAGTAATACGAAAACATATACATTGAACAATCATTTTATTTACACTGAAAATATCAAAGAGAATGGGAGGCTATATTGGATTAAATGTTCAGAACAGAAAACTAATTGCATTATTTATTACAATTCACTTTGTGTAAGAAAGTATGTTTTCGAATTGAGTTTAATCGAAAGATAAAAAAAACGATTGAAGATTTACTGAAATAACTCAGGATGGATCGCACTATCGTCAGATCCGTGTGCTACAAAACTTACGAAATTTGTAATACCTTACTGATGAATGATGCGCGGTTTAATGGCTTTTAAAATAAATGAATAGAGCGTACATCAATGGATGAACCTAATCATAATGTGTCCGGTTTGATGGTTGCTCATGAGAACGGTTTATTGATGCAAACTGATAACAAGGACAAGATAATTGGCTTTTTCTCTAAAAAATAACATGCTCATATACAAAATATCGAATACAAGCGATTAGAAGGTACAGATTTTGTAGGTCACTCAAATCCAATCAAACTTAAGATGCAACTAATAGAAACCATTCTTTTCTGTCACATAACCTGGTCTTACACTAACTCCTTTTTGATGCTCAACTACACACTATTGGTATCACTATGTTCACTGTTTTTTTTTACTATTTGTTATCTCTTTAACAAATGTAACCAGTAGAAAATCCAATAAAATCATGTAATTTCTCTTATTACGACCCAACTTCTCTTATTGCTTAGTATTCTTGGACATTACTCCACTCGACAAGTCCCTGATTCAGAACACGATTGAACAGGAACTTAATTATATTCCAAATAAAAAGGTTAGATGAAAGAAGGAATCACAATAAGAGAAACTTTAGTATATCTATAGTTTTTAAATAAGAAGATTCTCGAGTCTTCTCCAAGTACCCACTAGCGCTGATTGGATAAGAAATAGACAATCAATGTGCCCAAACATAATCCTTCATGGAAAGTGCTTTAATAGAGTTCATATCCCGTTAACATAACAGCTTTTAATTCTTGGGATTATCAATAGCCCAGTGATGAACATACTATAGGGTAACCTCTCCTTTGTGTTATATAAATTTATCATATAAGGATAAAATGATACAAACATTTGATAGTAACATCGAAAAGAGTATATATGGACCTTTAATTGGAATAAATAACAGTTTACTTTACATCAAACGACTGAGTTAGAGGTAACAGTGTAATGATGCTGAAAGTTAGTAATTGGTAAAGTTTTCTGTCTATAATCTCTTGTCTTTTAATCATAATTATCGATGAATTTTCATGGATATTCACTATTTTAAAGGCATTTATCAATTCTTATTCCAATAATTATGTAGTACATGACCTTCCTACTTAGTCAAATCAATTCTGGATCACTCGTTCTTTTAGGTGACTAAGAAAAAGTCACCAAGATTCGGATATGAACTATTTCATGTGCTTTTTACTCCCAGAGTGGATCAATGAGAATTCGTCGAAACCTATTGTTTCTTTGAAATTTATAAAAAAGTTAAAATTGTACTACTACTACTTTAAAAAACACATTGTTGTCATAAGCGATAAAAATGTTGTTTCAATTTAAATAAAAGAAACTCACTCTTTGCGTTAACTGGTAACCCACTCTGGCTTCTGATAACGTGAAACCTCCAACAACAAAGACTATAAGACGAGGACCACAATGTTCAGTCATAGAAGAAGCAGCTGTATTCCGATCCGAACCAGGATTTGGACTAGATGACCTAACAGATGCTGAAGGACCTGTAGACAAAACACCACTGGCATGAAATCGTGCGGAAGGCTTTTTAAAATCCTTAGAACTAGTATCTACTGCATTACCGAGGCCAAACACATCTTTGATACCTTTCGCTACAACGAATCCAAAACGTGATTTGTCCAGCTTACCCGAAATAGCTTGCTAAGAGTAACGGAATAAAAGTGACAAAATAATTCATCCAAAACCTTTAATATTTTATTTATTTCCCTATCTAAATATAATACATAGTAAATGAATAAATCTGGTAATTTATTAGAAGATATAATTATGACATTAAAATAAACAAACATATGATGGTCTATCTGACAGTGCTAAAATATAAGCAAGGAAAAGAAATTTTCCAAACGGTTTAAAAACAAAGATTAGTATGTGATGTGAACAGAGAAACAAAAAAACATGACAAACAACGGATGCTATTTTTAGAAACGTTATTTCATTTAATTCAAAGCTTGTAACACTACCAACCATAAGCTTTCGTTTGATGTATGATTCACTGTCATAAACCTTTTTGTAATTTAAACGTAGCCTTTGCTACTCTATTTTTTCAACCATAATTCCCAGTTTTTACATAATTGTGTTTTCCTAATTGTTTGTGCGTTGTGGCCATTTTGGTCATCTATTTATTTATGTATCTTTTAGCACTAATCTGGATAGTAGTGCGAATCGAAATCGGGAATTAATCGAGTAGCGTTCCACTCGACTAGTCTTATCTCTCTCGCGCGCCTGTCAACCACTCAGGTAAAGAATGGTTTCTGTCTCTCTACCCAAGGCGCTTAGTCTCACTTTGAACTCACGCGATTGTGACCTCAAGATTAAACCAGTCAGTCTGTAGCTCTCCTAGAGTTACTGCCGGTCCCAAGCCCGGATAAAGGAGGAGCGTTGAGCATGGGGTTAGCGTCCTCATCCCGTAGAAAAATAACTCGCTAAAAAAATGCTAACCAGAAAAAATAACTCAAACCATTCAAACTCTGCTCTGAGAGTTAGAAGGTCTTCATTTAGAAGAAATATGACGCCTCAGGGTGAAACCAAGTTCCTTCGGAAGCCATGAGGCCGATGCCCCATCTAACAACCAGAGCAACAATTTTTATAGGTACATGGAACGTCCGGACAATGTGGGAGACCGGAAAGGCCATTCAAATAGCAAAGGAAATCAGGAGATACAACTTGGCAGTACTGGGAATCAGCGAAACCCATTGGACCCAAACTGGACAACAAAGGCTAAATACGGGAGAGATGCTGTTATACTCCGGTCACGAAGAGGGAAATGCTCCACACACTCAGGGAGTGGCTCTAATGCTGTCCAAAGTAGCACAAAATGCACTTGTAGGATGGGAATCTCACGGATCCAGAATCATCAAAGCATCATTCAAAACAAAGTAGGAGAGGATCACAATGAGCATTATCCAGTGTTATGCACCCACCAATGATAGCAACGACGAAGTTAAAGATCAATTCTATGAGAGGCTGCAATCAATCATAGAGAAGTGCTCAAGAAAAGACCTCACCATTCTGATGGGAGATCTAAACGCCAAAGTCGGAATAGACAACACCGGATATGAAGATATCATGGGACTGTATGGACTGGGAGAGAGGAACGAAAACGGAGAAAGATTTGTAAATTTGTGTGCATTCAACAAATTGGTCATAGGCGGCACAATATTTCCACACAAACGTGTACACAGAGCTACATGGATCTCACCGGACCACTCCACAGAGAACCAGATAGATCATATTTGCATCAATAAAAAGTTCCGAAGGACAATGAAAGATGTGAGAACCAAAAGAGGAGAGGACATAGCTTCAGATCATCACCTGGTTGTGGCCAATTTAAAACTGAAGCTAAAGAAGAACTGGACAACTGGACAAACAGCTCTGCAAAGGTTCAATACGGCCTTCCTTCGAGATACCGACAAACTCAATGAATTCAAGATAGCTCCCAACAACAGGTTCCAAGCCCTACAGGATCTACTGAAAGAAGAAGAAACTACTATGGAGGATAACTGGAAAGGTATCAAAGAAGCATTAACTTCAACGTGTCAAGAGGTTCTGGGCTCCAAGAAGCATCATGGATTTCTATAGAAACACTGGACCGGGTCAAAGAAAGGAAGAACAAGAAGACAGCAATTAACAACAGCCGAACACGAGCAGAGAAATTCCAAGCACAAGCTGAGTACATAGAAGCAAACAAGCAAGTGAAGAAGAGCATTAGAGCCGACAAGCACAAATACGTGGAAGAACTAGCAACGACGGCGGAGAAAGCTGCAAGAGAAGGAAATATGAAACAGCTTTATGATACAACGAAGAAACTAGCAGGAAAATATAGTAAATCGGAGAGACCAGTCAAAGACAAAGAAGGCAGGCCAATCACTGAAATTCAACAACAGCGGAACAGATGGGCAGAGTACTTCGAGGAACTTCTGAATAGGCCGGCACCAATAAATCCACCGGACATCGAAGCAACACACACAGATCTTCCTATAGATGTCAATCCACCAACAACGGGAGAAATCAGAATGGCCATCAGACAAATCAAGAGTGGGAAAACAGCCGGACCCGACAATATACCAGTCGAAGCACTGAAGTCAGACATCGAAATAAAGACAAAAATGCTTCATCTTCTATTCAAGAAGATTTGGGAGGAGGAAAAAGTGCCAATGAACTGGAAAGAAGGATATCTCACCAAGATTCCAAAGAAAGATCTGAGCAAATGTGAAAACTACAGAGGCATTACACTACTGTCAATACCAGTAAAAGTCTTTAACAGAGTGTTACTAAACAGGATGAAAGACACAGTAGACGCTCAACTTCGAGGTCAACAAGCTGTATTCCGTAAGGACCGGTCGTGCACAGACCAAATTGAGACACTACCGATCATCGTCGAACAATCAATCGAATGGAACTCGTCATTGTACATCAACTTCATTGATTATGAAAAGGCATTTGACAGTGTAGATAGGAGGACGTTATGGAAAACTCTTCGACACTATGGAGTTCCTGAGAAGATTGTCAATATTATCCGGAACTCATACGACGGACTACAGTGCAAAGTAGTGCATGGAGGACAACTGACAGATGCATTCCAAGTGAGGACCGGAGTCAGACAAGGCTGTCTACTCTCTCCCTTCCTGTTTCTTCTGGTGGTCGACTGGATTATGAAGACCTCGAAATCTGAGGGAAACTACGGCATACGATGGACAGCTCAGAACCAATTAGACGATTTAGACTTCGCAGATGACCTAGCCCTCCTATCGCATACACACGAACAAATGCAGACAAAGACAGCCAACATAGAAACAGTCTCTGCATCAGTAGGCCTCAAAATACACAAAGGGAAAACCAAGGTCCTCAAATACAACACGGAGAACAGCAATCCAATCACTCTTGATGGCGAAACTCTGGAAGATGTAGAATCCTTCACATACCTGGGAAGCAAACAAGGAGGTTCAGATGCAGACGTAAAGGCTAGGATTGGCAAAGTTAGAGCGGCATTCCTTCAATTAAAGAACATATGGAACTCAAAACCACTTTCAACCAATATCAAAGTCAGAATCTTCAATACCAACATCAAGGCAGTTCTACTGTACGGAGCTGAAACTTGGAGAACTACAACAACCATCATCAAGAAGGTACAAGTACTTATCAATAGCTGTCTACGCAAGATACTCAACATTCATTGGCCGGATACCATCAGCAACAGCCTTTTGTGGGAGAGAACCAACCAGCTTCCAGCGAAAGAGGAAATTAGGAAAAGACGATGGAAATGGATAGGACATACATTGAGAAAATCATCAAAACGCATTACGAGACAAGCGTTAACTTGGAATCCTGAAGGGAAGAGGAAAAGAGGAAGGCCAAAGTACACATTACGTCGGGAAATAGAATCAGATATGAAAAGGATGAATAACAAATGGAAAGAACTGGAAAGGATTACCCAGGACAGGGTTGGATGGAGAATGCTGGTAAGCGGCCTATGCTCCTTCACGAGGAGTAACAGGCGAAAGTAAGTAAGTAAGTATTAGTGGGTAAACAGATCAAAGACGTAAAGTATGACAACTTTGCCTGCTAATGGTCAATGCCATTAATCACGCATGGCAGCTTAGTATAGTTAGGCTACTTGACTTCCAACTAATAAATAGTAAGTTCGAACCTCACTCCATACTTACTCATATAAAACGTATGACCCCAAGAAGATTACATAAACCTTAACTCGGTTACTGTGTTTAATTCCATATTAATAGTAAAATACTTTACTATAAGAATTGACAGTTTCTCCTTATTCACAATCTATTTTAGCAGTTACGACAGATAAAAGCTGAAATCCTTGTTATATTCAACAGAATCAAATCAAAAGTTACCGAAAAAAAAGTAAGATAGGTATGGGAAAGTCGACTGTGTATGAGGCCATGAATGAATTTCAGAACGAATAATTGTTAGCTGAGTATCTCTTCTAAATCACTGTACCATAATTTATTCACCGTTAAATGTACATACAATCTGCTAAGTTAAGTGATCAATAACTAAAATCTATATGTAAATGAATGTTGCAATCCGACTATCGTCTTTTAACACATTAAAATTTGTTAGCTAATTTACATGACTTCACAGCTTAACATATCATACTAGGACGGAACGACTGTCTAGTGCCTCCAGGTTTTCCATGGTGGTCTAGCTTCAATTGACTCATGAATTCAACTATTGAAATTAAATATCATGTAGTTTATTTTTATGTAAAAAAAACAAACAACAGATTAACTTTAAAAAAAAACACTTATTCAATGGTTACATAGCACAATTGATGACTTGCACTACACTAAATAACTATAGAGCGCTATTTAGTGTATTATTGGTCGAAATTCAATAGATGAGATGAATTAATTTACAAATGAAAAAAGTTGACATTCGATAACCTGTAGTTTTAGCGTCGATTATTTCTTTTTATTTTCACATAGAGTAGTAAGTAGTAAAAAAATTAAATTAAAAAAAAATTATCAAAATATTTGAACTTACTTCCATAATATCTAAAATATACGGCGTCCATCGTGATAATGCATATGAACTAGCATTAACACGATCTACACGTTTCTTTTTTATTGGAAGGTATGTTTGTAATAATTGGCTAACTTTTGGAATTGGTGGTAAACGCAGAAGAGATACACATCTACCCAATTGATATTGTGGAACATTTGTCTGATTAGGCAAAGATATAGTGACGGGCTATTTAGGAAAAATAAAGTAGAGACACATTGTATCCATAAGGATGTATGAACAGAGTCACCTACTAAAGAAATAAACACGTCATTTATGAGCATGTATTGTACACTTGTTCGGTTGTCTTACTCAAATACACGCTTCTTACATGCGATACCAATGAAATACTCGAGTGAGAAAACAAAAGATGAATAGGAAGCTTTGTTTGAAAACCTGAATCAACATATTTACACAAACGTATTTATAAATACAGATGTGTCTTTTGGATAATCAAGCCATGCTTTCAACAACAGCGATCTGTCTGTGTCAAACGCGTAAATAAGTCAAACTTGACCAATAGCCTGCATTCTTCTCTTATCATTCGGTCTTTAGCTGACATATTTGACCGACCCGGTCTATCATATTTCCTTCCTGAAAAATAAGTCTTCTCAGATTCAGTAGGAAGAGTTGTTGTTGGCGATTTTCTTTGATGATATCTTTAAGGTTTGAATGTTGATTCTGATGCCTTAGATTGGTTGTTCCGGAAGATGTGATAAGCCGGGTCAATAAAACATATCAGCTGAAGACCAAATGGTAAGAAAAAGATATTGAAGAATGCACGCTATTGGTCAACCGTTTCAGCAATTTAGTATCTATTTCATAGCAAGTCTCCAAAGTGCTTCTTGTCCAATAAGACAAAAATAATAATTAATTAGATAATCAGAGACTCTTACTTGGTAGACCGATCATTGTGTGAAATTATGAGTGAAATTAAAAGCAAAAGTGGACCACGTAAAGATAACATCGAGCAGTCTTCAAGTATTGTCATAAACTCTGTTTTCTTTCCTAAAGTCTAATCACTATCACTGAAAACAATTATTTTGAATTTACAGGTAGAAAAAATAGTAATGAGGAAAAATCATTAACAGGCTTGTTATGAGTGACGATTATCAAAAAAAAATAGTTAATTGTAAATAATACTAGGTCCCAAAAGAATGGATGAATATATTAAACAGATATCAGGCTCTTATTCAAAGAAAACATAGAACATAGTACAAATATGTACTGTCACCACTAAGAGTATTGTATGGGTCTCAACCGAGGAAATTTACATACTACATAAGGCTTATATCAGTAGTCAGTGAAGAAGATACAAGTGTTTATTAACGGTCGTCTACGGAAAAAATACTTCGGATCCGTTGGACAAACACTATAGGAAACAACCTACTGTGGTAGAGAACAAACCAGATCCCAGCGGAGGAAGAAGCTCTGGAAGTGGATAGGACACACATCGAGGAAAGCACTTAACTGCGTCACATGACAAGTCCTTTCTTGGAATCCTCAAAGCCAAAGGAGAAGCGGAAGACCGAAGAACATATTAAACCGAAAAATGGAGACAAACATGAGAAAAATGAGTAAAATTTGTATAGAAAATGCACGAATACGCGTTTATATATACCACTCTAACTCTTAGGAAGTTGATCGACTTCTTAGCCAATAAAATGAACTTGTCCTTCAGGTCACTTTGATTGACTAGCCATATCAATATGAGCAGGCTTCGACTGTGAATTGTATTACCCTTGCCCAAATGCGTCAAACGATAAAATTTTACAGCCTAGTCCATCAGCTTTCATTTTTGCTTAGTATTCCGCACCTAACCTCATAATTACTCAAGCTGCCCATCTACCATTCCCGAGCAATGCTTCGAAGATATCTACAGTTTCAAAACAATATGGAGATTACCACTGGACACCACACTCGTTATTTTAGTTGTATGGGTTATTGGCTTTCTCTGGCTACCCACATATTTGAAAAGTACTTTTTCTTAATCGACCTGAAAAGAAATAAGCATACAGTAACATTTCACTGACTAAAGAACCTAATGAAGGAATGCTTGGGGTAGGTTATCCACAACTGTCTTGTATGTGCAGTTATTATTTCATCCTCAGCACTATGCATTTTTATGCTTTGGAACAGGAAACGAGAACTCATACATTACGATAAGTGTACCATTTTGACGATAAAACGTCTTATGTCCGCGGAAATGCAGTATTTAACAGTAGTTAGTCAATAGCTTACCGTGTGAACCACAATATCATATAACTAAGCTATATATATTCGATAATTTTGTTGTTTGATTATATTTTCCTTGAAAAAGCTTGGGCCAGATTGCCAGGCGAAACGTTGGATTTACTTCAAATTCGTTAGCTGAGATTTTACAAATACATTTTTTCCTCTATAATTATATATTTACTCCTTCTTAAGATGTGATTGCATGTCATAGATGATTATGAAAAATCAGTCCTATATGTCATTCACATTTCAATCATTTTAGTCACTGTTTACCGAATTCGTTTTCTAGCCCCTGCATACATTAGGAAGATCAAAACCCCGAGAAACATCTTACTGACGATACTGAGAATTCCCTCTTCAACAAGAAATCTGCTGGAATTGAACTTACGCCTTTGAACCGAAACGATTAGTAAGGTAAGACTTCAAGAAACATCTGCCGATAGAGCCTGACTACACTACCATGATAACTAAGTCTAGGAAACAGTTACGCTTTAACAACAAGTTGTTTTTAAGATGAATATGTGCATGGATTATGGTCTATTAAGAGTAGATTGCAATTAGGATCAACTACATATGGAATACAGATTTTCTATACTTAGCTTTGAAGACATGAATAAAATACAACAGTATTCTTTGAAGAAAACGCATCATCTGGAAAAAATGCACTAAACTGTCTTCTAGATCATAATCGACTCAAATTTATGATATCATCAATAGTGGGAAGCCTAACACTGGACAATGTTTACTTCATTGATAAACGACGACCTTAATTCTCTTAAACATATAGATGTAAAACTAAGTAAAATGAGGAAATCAGAATCCTTTTACTTGAGAAAATCCGAGTCATATGATATAGAGTGAATGAACCATTGCAGGTATTGTTTATCACAATGTGTGAAATAAGTAAATATAATATTTTTTAACAAAAGAAACAAATGTTTCTATGGCACCACTTAAATTTCTAATTTCATCATCTCGTATTTTTGAGTAGCCGAAACAAAAGAGAAAACTGGAAAATTAAGCAGAATTAATATTGTCACTAACAAAAATGTAGGTTGATGTCCATGATCAATCGTTCTTTCTGTTTCTTAATAAATATTAAAGTCTATCAAATAGTATGCACTAAAAATAGCTTTCCTGTATCTTAACATTTATTTACTGATCATTTTTGTGCTGATCATAGAGTTATTATGATACTATTGAATTACTTTTAAAGGAGATTCCCAAATATTTTCCGATAAATGTGATTAGATACTTCATAAGCCAACTACAAAACATGTCTTTTTGTGCTAGGCTGTGAGTCGTATTTATATTGAGTTGGTGTGAAATAGATGTCGGTTACATAAAGCGAGATACAATGGTGTAGGTATCAAAACCACGGCCTAATTCTTTGGGAATTAAAAACTTGATGATCTCGTCGTAAAGCGATTAGCATGAACTGTTCCGACGGCATACTTACCGTATTTATTAGATTAGTATAGACGCATACCTTTAGTTTAACCAAGTACTGTACATCCTTATTAAATGTTGTGTTAATATTGGCTATTTCTGCGTAGAACAGTGTCAATATTTACGTTTAGATTTAATACGAATCAGGAACAGTCGGTTGGTACGACCGATTCACCAATACCGTCGCATCAAAAGCTAGTTCCTAGGATTTTATATAGATATTTTTTTTATTTGGTTTGACACCCATAAATGTTTATTCAAGAGACTAGCTACTAATTGTTGATGTTTAGATGTGAAACAACTTTCAATAGAATTCAACCTCTACACATTTGAAATAATCTTCACTTGATAAAGAATGTGGTAAAAAATGAAATGTGTGATGAGTCAACGTTACAACATGTTAATGTACTTAAACTTATAATTCGATAATACATAGATGAATGACTACGAAATTTATTCGTATAGTTTTGAATATTTCTGAACCTCGATTTCATATATGCTTTCACTTACAAAATATTACTAAAGTTTAAAAAACAATGATATAATTTGTATTCATCCTTTTATGTTCATTTAGTTTAATTTAATTGGATGCCGGCTCAATGGTCCAGTACGCTAAGCGTTCGCGCGCGAGACTGAAAGCCCTGGGTTCGAATCCCGCGAGCGGGATCGTAGATGCGCACTGCTGAGGAGTCTCACAATAGGACAAAACGGCTGTCCAGTGATTCCAGGTTCCCAACGGTGGTCTAACATCAATCGGTTCATGACCTCAATCAAAATCTTAACATGTTACCACATTTAAAAAAAAAAGAAATTTCATTATTTTGATTGAATCATAGAATATAATACATTGAAGAATCATTATTGATGAACAGAATAATGCAAGATACCAACTTACGTCAGATTGAATTAATTGAGCATTCATAATGAATGAAAGACTTGCAAATAGTGGTTTGAACGAACGTGCAACTTGAGCACAATCCAACAATTTATCTAAATGTGTTTCTGCAAACCCCTCTGAATTTGTTTATAAACATAAAAATAATAAAACAAATACAATATAGTATAGAGCCATGATGAAAAACTAATTGAAAAGAAATTTCCTTGCTCTATTCGTTCTTCATTTTACTAGATGTCAAAATGGTCATTTCGACTACGCTGATGTATATATGCATATACATCAATAAATTCAATTAGAACGTATTACTACATAACTCACGATAGAAAATTTGTTTATACATATATATAAAACAAACTTCAAATATGGGAGCAATTGATATTACTTTGATGCCCAAACGGAAGTAGGTAAGACAGTGTTTGAGCCTGTAACGTAGTAGCTGAACATCTTAATCACTGACCCGCCATACAAGAAATGTAAACTATTTATTGTTTATCACTGCATACGAATAACTAGTGTAATAAAACAGATTCATAACCATTTTTTCAGAAAAAAAACGTGCCAAAACAAAACTGTACACCACTAATCAATTAACTGATTTCATTCTGAGTACAATATACGACACCCGACCGTTGTTGCTACCTTGACGTGGTGGTCGGGCTTGCCTATCGTGATAAAGCAACTGAGCTATACTGGCTGGAACTACCGTTCCTCAAGGTTCTACCATGCCAAACAGGTCGGTTGAAGAACGGTAAGACTAAAACCAACAAATTCAAGGTCCGAAGGCGAAGTCGTACTACTGACTGTACAGAGGTGTGACAGCAGTAAGGTGTTTCCTTCAGACAACCAGCATAACAGCGATGCTGCCTTCCCACAAGGAGGGGTGGGGTTAGAAAAGGTCGACCCTAAAAATACACACCTCACCTTATCCCACGGATATCCGTCTCCAGAGGTAAGGTCTCAACAAGTACGAAGCTAACACAAGAATTACTCATAAAAAGGTTGTGTGTGACCGACCTCAAGCAGCTGTCCCTTGGGCACTGCCGTCACGCCCTCAGGTCACTATGACCACCTCTAATCCAATTAACTATTCGGGTACCTCCAAAAGAACGCTTCCACGGTGTGGGCAACCGGGAAGTGATAACCGCCCTCATACCTCTAACAGCACTCAAGACCACTGTATTCATAATCAACCTACCTCTTCAATTCCTATTATTCCTCCTACATCGTCTTTCAAATCTAAACTCCCTCTTTCGGCTTCCTCCTCAAGTGTCACCATAGCCAACGATTCTTGTGCTCAAAACACTGTCCCAGGTCTACTGAAACCTCGCTCTAAACTATACATTGGAGCCTTCAACGTACGCACACTATGTCAAATCGGTCAGCAGGTCTGCTTGGCTAAAACCCTGGGATCTCGTACAATTGATGTATGCTGTGTCTCCGAAACACGCACACAGGATCCTAGTGTGGCCACTCACTGGACCTCACCTCGGCAAAACGGAGAGCCGACGAAAATACACCCTCAGTATATCTGGAGACCCGACGGCTAGTTCTCGTGGACTGGCAGGTGTAGGCATAGCACTAAGCATGAGGGCGGAACAAGCGCTATTAGAATGGATCCCCGTTAACAGTCGTCTATGCGCTGTTCGGCTAAACGGCTCCGTAAGAACTCGGAAGAATAGGGACACATGTCGTTGCCTTTTCGTCGTTTCTGCCTACGCTCCCACTGACTGTAGCTCGGATGAAGTGAAAAATGAATTTTACAGAAAACTCTCTGAACGTCTTCAGAAAGCTAAACGTTCAGACATAGTACTCGTAGCACGTAACTTTAATGTCCAGGTAGGTAGCTTAAACCAAACAGAAAAACATATAAGTTGGTATTCTAGTATTCCGGCACAGCGAACAGATAATGGTGATCGTCTGCTGCAACTGTGCTCAGACAACCGTTTATTTTCAGTAAACACAAATTTTAAGCATAAGGAGAGACACCATCTAACATGAGGACCCCCTGCACCAAAGCAACGATGGACTCAAATAGACCATATTGCCATCAGTCATCGTTGGAGAGGGTCGATAGAAGATTGTCGCTCATTCTGGAGTACCTGTTTGGACTCCGACCATGCCATAATACGAGCACGCATCTGCTTGCGCCTCACTGGACGCAAGAAAGCCACATCAAAAAGATCCATTAGAACTGAACTGAGTAACGAGAAAACCAAAAGTTGGTTCCAGGAACAACTGAGGTCACACCTAGGTAATTCTGAAAACGAGGCTGATCCAGACGTTGCTTGGAAAGATATACAATCAGCTGTGGAAACAGCAGTGACATCTATTAGTGATTTAAACTAAAGGAGTTACAAAGAACCAATGGATTTCTTCAAGGTCTACTGCACTGATGGATTCTCGTAAACTCATCCCATCAGGCTCTGAACCCGATGAAGAGAGGAAACAAATCAGATCTAGGTTAACCAAAAGTCTAAGGAACGACCGTGAGCAGTGGTGGGCAACGAAAGCAAAAGAGATGGAAAAGGCGGCGACTATTGGTAACACCAGAAAGCTCTTCAGACTCATAAAAGAAACTGGAATTAATAAATCAAATGTAAGTCAGACTATTCCGGAAAAAACGGCACTCTCATCTGCTCCCAGTCCAGACGTTTAGAACGATGGGCGGAACATTTTAGAGAACAGTTCAGCTGGCCTTCAGCCACTGCAAAACTACCCATTTCCAAACACTCTGAATCGAACATTGAAGTAGGCGCTCCGACTAAAATCGAAGCTCAAGAAGCTACAGTAAATCTGAAACGTGGAAGGGCAGCAGGTCCAGATGGATTGGCTCCAGAGGTCTTTAAGGATAGTGGTCTAGTTTTAGCGATTAGGTTGACTAATATTTTAGCTAAAATCTGGGAGTTAGACATTATCCCATCTAACTGGTCATAATAACTTATCGTCCCTACATATAAGAAAGAGTCAAAATCATCATGTGACAACCACAGAGGGATCAGTTTGACTAATATAGTATCTAAAATACTAGCCTCGATAATTATCGGACGCCTAACTAAGACTCGTGAACTGCGAACCCGGGAGAATCAAGCTGGCTTCAGGCCTGGTCGTGGATGCATAGAACACATATTCACCATTCGTCAGGTTCTAGAACACAGCCATACTTATCGGCGTCCGACAATGATGGTCTTCCTTGACTTAGAAGCACCACTTGACTCCGTAGACCGCAAAATTCTGTGGCAGTGTCTGTCATTGAAAGGCGTACCTCAGAAGTACATAAGCCTTGTGAAGACTACTCGAACACTACCAGTCGAGTCAGAGCTTATGGCGAACTGTCATCTGATTTCGCAACCTCAAGTGGTGTCCGTCAAGGCTGTCCACTTTCTCCATTTTTGTTTAACTTCATCATAGATCTACTGATGGAAATAACGCTCTTATCGACTGAATTCTCGGGTATTGATCTCCTACCAGGAGGTCCACTTATCGACTTAGAATACGCAGATGACATAGTCCTGTTTGGTGAAGACGCTGATAAAATGCAGAGTCTTTTGGTAGCACTGAGCAACAATGCTAGGATGTTTGGGATGCGCTTCTCTCCCTCCAAACGCACGTTGTTGCTCCACGACTGGTCTGTGTCAACACCTGAACTAAGGATAGGGAGTAAAGTAGTCGAACGCGTTGAAAATTTCACTTCTTTTGAAATTCTGATCAGACCTAATGGGTTGATGCTTGACGAACTCTCAGCACGGATTCAAAAAGATCGTTTGGCCTTTGCCAACTTACGTCACCTATGGCGAAGGCGAGATATCCATCTATCGATTAGGGGGCGAGTATACTGCGCAGCAGTTCGTTCTGTTTTACTTTACGGCTGTGAAACGTTACCACTAAGAGTAGAAGATATTCGTAAACTACTAGTATTTGACCACAGATGTCTTAGAAATATTCCTGGTATCTATTGGGATCACTGGGTAAGTAATAGTGAGGTTAGACAGGGAGGGTATTAGGGAATGATGGTAAATCAGTTGATGAGGTTATGAATCTTCATCGACTGAGATGGTTGGGCCATGTGTCGCGTATGCCTGAACACCGATTACCACGACGTGCAATGCTAACAGGTATTAGGGATAACTGGAAGAAAGTTAGGGGCGGCCAAATCAAAACGTGGCATCAGTGCTTGAGGTCACTAACATCTGGTCTGAGCCATGTTGGTAGATGTAGACTACTTGGTTGAGGTCCGCGTGACTATCGTAACCAATGGTTGGAGACTCTGTGATATGGCTCGGAATCGATCACAATGGCGTCGGTGTATACACTCTCTGTCTTCCCTTAAACTAAGAGATTAAAATCGCTTCATATTTTTCTTTCTACGAACTAATTCTTTCTTCCTGTACTATCTCCTTATATGCAACCTTTCTTTTATATATTACCACCACTGAATTAACTACTTCTATGAATCCGGTGTTCATCTTGTTGTGCTAATACGGTATGGCAACTTGGACCGATGCATATATGTGCCTGATCCTACGTTGCAGCTGATTGACTGACTGAGAATATACGACAGCATACATCAAATACCATTTACCGTAAACAATGATAGTGACATTTAAGTATGTTGAATGTGCGTAAATGTATATATTTCGAACGTTTGTATCAATGCACATTACTATACCGCATTGAATTTTAAATGAATGAAGTATTCAGTATACTTCAATGATACTTTATTCTTGGACTACATGAAATAGATCCATTCCATTAGACTAATTAATTCTTGACAAAAATTACTATTTCCAATGGTTTTATTTTATGTGGCTTTCTACTGATGCATTGATGTAATCATATATAACGTCCTAGTTAGTAACATTATCTACAACTTATGCACAGAAATAAATAATTTGAAACTATCTACCTGTATGATCATAACTAATAAACCATTTATAAATGTTTCACCGAAAATAAGAAAGTTACATAACTAAGAGTCATTTCTTTGAAGACATAAAAATGTACAGTGGAAGAAAAAACGAATTATTCCAAAACAAATAAAAATAATAAAATTACAACATTCAATGCATAATAGCTTCAGAAAATTAACTCTTAGCTTCATTGAATGCGAATCCACTTAGATTAAGACGAATAGTCCTATGTGAGTATTAAGGGTGATGAAACGTATATATATATATATATATATATATATATATATATATATATATATATATATATATATATATATATATATATATATATATATATATCAACACGCACAAAGATTAAAAAAAATTCATACATGGCTAATCGACAGATTTCACACTCTAAATTATACCGGACCAAGTTAACTTATTTGAAGGTTGAATGAAGCGATAATTTTTTATGTTCCTTAAAAGATTTATTATCCAAATTGAAAATAGATAGAATAAGGTTAATTCATTGGTACGTACATTGCAATAACAAATATTAGTGAGATTATATAAATCCGTTTTGAAGAAGATAAAGAATGAATATATGTTACCTTTTATAAGAGTGAAGAGAAGTAAAAGACGTAAACGTTCTTCCACTGATGTAAAATCGTATTTGAAAATATCAACCAATACACGCATAGGATCCGTTATAGGTTCTCCTTTTGCATTCTCACCCATCACAAGATCCTTTTAAAAGAGAATATTCATAAAATCACCATAAGTACACGAAGATCAGCGAAGGGATCTCTTTTCAACGAATTTATTATCAAGCTGTACAATCGTATATATATGAAAATTTTGTATTTGTAAAAGTACTAATTCCGTGAGGAAATGTGAACACAGTTAACCATGACGTAATAAAAAGGTTGTAATACTAGATTACGTAATACGAATAATAACAACATATTTAGTAAATATAATAAGATGATTAAAATGTTTTTGTTACAATAATTAAAGGTCATAGAGGTGTAAAAATAAATAAGGTGATATGATGAGCATTTATGAATAAAATAATGAATATAAGACATAAAGTAAAGGGGGAATGCAGTAATAATAATAATAATAATAGGATAATCAAAATAATAATGGGATAATCAAAATAATTAAGGCCAAGGTAACGATAGCGATAAGACGTACTTCTTTTGTACGCATAGTCCTGGTTTAGGCTCCTGAATGGTAAGATTTTCGGCTATTTTTAAGAGTTGGATACGAAGAAATCTGGCTAGATTTGGACGAATCATATAAACAACCTTAAAATCAATTTGTGGATCCGTAGAATGCTTACAGTCGATTAGGTGCTCAAGTATAGAACTCCTAACTGCTTTCCTTTCACCCTTATAGAACCAAGCTGGGATATGTTCCCGTATCCGAGTTGAAAGTAAGCGCTGGCTACGGCCAATGTACCTTACTCCACAATAATAAATAGTGACTATACTAATTTCTACTTTATTTTTTCACTCAGTAATATATATGCAACAAGAATTTTATGTTATCGATGTTCAAAAGGGGATAAAAAGACTTCGGAATCGATTGGCATAGGCGGTGTAGACATTTGGTAAATTAAGAAAAATGTATATGTGGGAACTAGTAGACAAAACCGCTATAGAATTATCTCGATTGGTAGATGATCACTTGTAGTTCTTTATAAATCCAGGACTCGATTGTGTGTTGGTAGTTCTTCGTGCTATTTTTTATCTATCATTATATTTCAAAAGCATACGAACACTTAATGCAATTTAGTATTCTGATTACCAGTTGATTGAGAACCATAATGTGATATATACGTTGTTATCTTATTAATTCATTCATCAGATAGTTGGATATAAGTCATTGTAAGTTTGAGAGCTTACGATGGTACCTGGTCGCTCAAACCGAAGTAGGTAGAGTGAAATGGAGTTCAAATCTGGGACTTAGTGGCTGGAAGTTAAACGCTTTAGCCACTAAGTCATCGCTCTACGTATTCTATAAGTAGGTGATTATGATTTCATATTTCGTAACATAGTGAGACCGTACTGACAACTCCAAAACACTCCCTAGTAGTCGTGATACACTGCTTTCACTTGACAAAAATGTCGTTTCCAGACGTTTAATATTAGCCAAAAAGATATTACTTCCTTAATCACTTTTTTCAAATATATTCTAAAACTGCTATCAATGAAATAATGTACAGTTTCTCATGTGACAACCTCATAACAATAATATTAGAGGCCTTCGACTTAGATTACCTTTATTTTATTTACTCGTTGGTTAAACTTACCACTAAATTTATTACTAGCAAAATCCATCATCATATTTACAAGCGAGTGAGAAGTAGAGAAGATCCACATAACCAATACCAAAATGAAATAATATACACGGTTTATTTTTGATGTAATATCCTTTATTAAACAACTTTAATTTTTTTTCCATGTGTATGATGTGAGTTACGCCCAGAATTAAATAAATTGCAAATCACAATAAACTTTAAACACGCACCAGTTTGGTATCTCTTTGCATGAGTACCAATCGATAAACATTGTAATCCCACTCAAAAAATAACTTATACATTGTTCATTTGTTTCAGTTTCCATCAGTATTCAGTATGTGTATGTTTTATTTCCTTTGCCCTAATAATTAAACTACATATTTCTCGATTAGTCAAAACAACACTAAGTTTTAGGAACAAATTAAGCTTATGAAAACCAGGTTGTACTTGTATACACTTTGACTTCACACAGACTGACTTGAAAGATCCACAGGAGGAGTTAAAACAAGATATCCGTGGGGGAAAATAAATCTTAAACGAAATATTTTTGGTGTCACCAATTAACAGCAATACTTCACTTACGTGATTTTAGTGAACCAACGTATATGTAAGTAAAATCGATAAAAGGTCACAGAAAGTAAGACTCACTTCTCGAAATACATCTATAAAAAGTTATACGATAAATGTAGAGAGTCGTCATCTCTGACTAATACAATTTAATGTGATAACTTCCCAATAAAGTTCTTTACAGAATGTTACTAAGACAGATGTTGAGTAAACAACTTGCAGCTGAATAGTTTCGAGCTCGGTAATTTTGTTTATCATTACGCACTTCCATTACGTATTTGGAAAAACGAGATTGGGTTCTGATAATGGATTCAAGTACACAGATTATATTGTCCAATAAATCTCTTAAGGAAAGTGAAAATAGTCATAACGCTCCATGACTATTTTAGTTTATTTTCATTCAACTACGGCCAAACAATTATTGAGTTAAGGATTTCCTAAAAATTTATAAAATTACATAACATACCTGTGTTAATGATAAATAGAATCCTATCTTTCTCCACAAACTATAGAATCAATTAGTGCACTTATGTGCCACCCTACCCTTCCCTCTTCAACTAATCTAAATATTGATATTTCTAAAAATAAAATGAAAGTCCTATAGTTATTTTTAATGATACTGTCATGATAAATTAACTTGATTTTAGCCGCATCTAACCAGCAAAAAAAAATCACAATATTCACAATACTAAAACTACTCTCTTTTAAGTGAAATTACTTGTTCAATTTCACATAGTTTATCAACACCTTTTTTGAACGTAGCCATACAAGTCTCAACAATATGATAAGCAGCTGCATAACTAGCCGATTCTGTTTGATATTGTGGCATACGTTTGATAAGATCAGATAAATCTCTTATATCAACAGTATTTTTATTTGTATCTTCTTTTGATGGAACATTATCCAAATTAGCTTCTTCGAAATCAACAAATTGTTTTTTACTTTCAGCAAATTCACGAACACGTTGAGGAAGTGCCCTATAAGTTGAATGAAACAACATAATAAATTAGTAAGAAGAAAATATGTATTTCACGATTGAAAAGTATTGAGGATAGTAACAATTAAAAGTTCCAAATGATACATCATGATCGATTAGGAGAACAGATACATTGATTTATTGTTTGTAGTAAAAAAACCATCCATTACTGATTGCCTTATCAGTTACTACTGAATAGTATAAGAATGCAATTTATGACAAAATACAGATAACTAGACGGAGGACCATACATTAACAGAGACTGACCATATCAATAAAAGGAAACAAGTGAAAAACATTTACTATTATTGATTGTATTTGTTTGAAGTGAAAATAATGCTGAGCACAAATAAAACATTTTGGTTACTCACTAAATAAGATTATAATTCTTTTAAAAAGTATCGATTTTCAAAACATATAATTGGTGAAAACCAAAGAACAAATGTTATGCAGAACGCAATATCATTGCGTAATACCTAATTTAAAGAGGAAGCGACAGATCCCATAAGATAAACGTGATCGGTTAAAATAAAATGAATAGGACAAGATTCGCAGAATAATAGAAATTCATTCCGTCTGCAGCTTATGAGAAGTCCTGAAACATAATGAATTCATTATCGAAATGTTGTCTTTTTGGATTTATTTAAATTTATCACGGGATCAGTTGTAGATAAAACCTGATTAGATTTGAAGATATTTTAGTATAATGATACAGAATAATGATGATATATAACAACACGTATTTACTTTATGATGGATATGCCAAATAAACCAGACAAGATTGTATGATGATTTCAATGGATGTGAGCGCGAACTATTATGAGTAATTGGGTCTCCTGTCGGTATATCTACTGTTTAGGTTAATCTAACTATGAAAACAATTCGGCTGAGAATAATCCTTTGATAAATACAAATTCTTAAACTGTATTTATTTGGGTAGATTGTGTCGGGACTGTTCAATAGTAGCTGACTCACAATACAGATCATATCAATAATCCGGATTTCAAATTAATGCAACTAACGAAATAACATACCTCGTGACATCTGCAACATGCTGATGACGAAATTCTTTCCACAATGCATCGCCATCAGAAACATTTGCTTTGCGATTTCCACTATATCTTTATATTCAAAAGATAAATACAATTTGAACAATAAAATAGCATAACAAATACAGTAGAAACAAAGATTGTATATAGTTAAGTCTACGATTGAAACACACCATTTCACAGCTTTATTAGCCTGATTCGACTCCCTGAACTAAGGTAACAATTTCAGCTTTTTTGGTGTTAATAAGTTTGTTTCAATTCAGTCGGAATTACATTTTTGTGAGGACAGTCGACGGGTGAACTCTAGGAAGCGCTAAGAAGCTCAGAAAGAGCCGAAGATATTCCATCCAATCATCTTTTGGGAGGATATTTCAGAGTACCTACACGAAGCTTCCCTATTAGACAGATGCTAATAACCACCTGTATGCGGATTGGAGGGCTAAAATGATGATTTCGTTTTCACTAGAAACTATAAATACCTGACAGCTTTGTGCCATAATTGGCACTGTTTAGAATAGCATTCCTTTTATTTGTCTTCTGTCTTCTCATTTGCAACCTCGGAGGGTCCTAGAGTTCGAGTGCCAAAGTTATACGCGACACACTGTTGTTTTTAAAGTCCTCAACCCATATTATGTACAACAAAATGTTTCACTAAACAATATTTAAAACGGTGGATTTATGTTGCAGTTCCCGGAGAATTATATTTGATCCAGGTATAGTTCATCTAAAATGTTTCACTTTAATAGAATAGATGCTTCATGACTAAAATTCTCACAAATCAATAAACGCTATATTTGAAGGTGAAGGTATATTATGAAACCTGAGTATTGAAAGCTATATCAATTTAGAATTTAGTTATGCACTAAATGTCAATATCTAGTTTTAGAGCCGGTAGTTAGTGTCTTCAATGAAAATGTATGAAGGTGGAGTCAAATAGGAAGAAATTTATGTTCGAAGAAAAAAGTAATGATTGTGATGTGCGACTCGATTGCACCAACCAACTGCTTTAGATTGGCACCACTCATCTAGGATTGCAGGTTTTTTAAGTCTGGTTCGTAAAACAACAGAAATCTGTGAATAAGATACTATGTGATATACTGCAGGTAAGTTATAGAATTTTCCATAGAAAACGAACAGTATAATCAGCTTTGAGCTACGTTTTTTATGAGAGCTGGGGATAAAATATGGCTACACAAATTGAGGTGAGTCGGGTTTTCAAAATGTGACCTATAGGTTGAAAACTGAGTGCTCGAACGATTCAGTCATAGTTTTCATACAATTTCGAACCAAGCTATATAAACACAATACAATATAGCACCACAACTTCTTATGAATTGAATTCCAAGCACGAGATTCATTTATTCACTTGGAATATTTACACAAACGGTTCTGTTTAATAAAGACACAGTTGTGAGTTTTTACTTATTTCTGGGTCATATGTTACATCTGCCCAATTACTCCTTCCAATGTTGAAAGAAATCTAAGGACGATCAATCTAAAACATGCCACCAATTAACGAAGCCATTGATTGTGGGACTGAGCCATGTTGATATGTACAGAATAACTGATTGGGGTCCGTGCGGTAACCATAATCAGTGGTTGAAAGTGGTTGAAATGGCTTAAAGTCAATCATAGTGGCTCAGACGCATTGACTCTTTGTTTCCATTATATATTAAGTTTCAATATTCCTCCACACATATATTGTCATATCTTCTATTCCAGCAATATTCTCAGTGTTTAGTCGTTTTACCATCACTGCTACTACTATTATTCCTACTAATTTGCAATACATCCTGTTAACTTCACCTCACCATGATGATGCCATGATGGTCAGTCAGTCAGTCAGTAACAACGTGACATTGATGGTAACTCCGGTTGACTCCCATTTATGCTAGGCTCCATGTTGATTATGATTTTTCCTTTCCAATTTGTGACAATCTTTAGAAATCAAAAGTATACACTACTTGGCGAAAGTTTTATCAACTGAATATATGAAAGCCACGGACAAATAAGGAATAAATCAATCTTGAAAACTTACTCAATTGTGTTTTCCTCCACAGTGAGCAAATCATAACACATAGCCTGTAATGTCAATTCGTGCAAAAGAGGAGAAACGGGATCCAAACTTCGGTCAACGATCAACAAAAGACTTTGATCTTTATGTGAGCCCTGAAGCGTGAGAAAGAGAGAAAAGAAGGGAAATTCAAGCTTACAAAATAGGTTGATCAGGGGTACGGATATTTTTCACTTCGAAATAAATTAAGCTAAGAAACTAACCGTAATTCAGAAGATGTTTGGTGGAAAAAGAACAAACGCAGTTTTTGTTATTTTCAATAAAACATTTTCACGAACAGCACCTGCATGGATATTGTTTTGCTGTAACTACGATACTGAATAAACCCTCGAATTATAAAACATTTAAGTTATAAATCACAGGAATGACAGATTTTAACAAGGAAAATGCTACCAAAATACAATATAAACCACCATGAAGTCACCTTTAAGAATTTTAGATTATTAAACACTTGTCATTTATGATGAAGCTAGATTAGAATTTAAATGAATTCTTCGTATTGTTAGTTGTCAGACCGGCAGAGAGCTTCTTGTTACTGATGAAGGGCGCAAACTGAAGATTTATAGTATCATCTAAAAATCTGTTAGTTATTTAAAAACCAATTTCTCAAATGGAAATAAATATTTTATGAGCCCAAAAAATAAAAACGGTTTTCTAAGACAAGCATTTGAAAAATTCGCAACCTAATGAGAATGGTCGAACGAAGGGGAACCTGATGAGTAACCAATCCTACCAGAATTAAAACCAATAGCATTTCTAATAAATCAGTTGTCTGGAATCGTGGCTCTCCGACTCCCTTAGGTAAACCTTCGTTACCGGCTGAAGCAGTTCTGTTACGTCCTTGATCTGTCTACCCAACAACATACAGGAGAGGACTTGTCTCCATCTAGGCTAAGGACTTGTCACGATCGGCTAACTGGTTCAACCTTGAAACTAGAACTGCATGAGTTCGAATTGAGGCTAACGGCCTTAGGCAGAGGGACGAAAACTATTACATCGCCCGACTGGTCGACAAGCGAAAGAGAAGAGTCAGATGGAACACTACTCGATTAATTCCTGATTCAGATTAGTGTAAAAATATATATGAATAAATATATCTGACTAACAAGATTACAACGCGCAAACAACTAAAAAAATACAATTATTTCTAAACTGGGCATTAGGGGTACGAAAAGTAAACAACAAAAAGTTACGTTTAAATTACAATAGCTTTGGAACAAAAAGGGATATGACAGTGATTCATACATCAGAATAAAGCTTATGGTTTATAGAACAGTCTAGGGACAAAACTAAATGTTAGTATTTTATAAGCTTTGAATCAAGCGAAGTAACATTCCAAAAAATAGTATCCGGTGTTTGTCATAACAGGTTTATTTCCACTTTTATGGGAACAACAACCAGATGTAGGCAGATGACCTCCGTCAAAGGTATAAAATAACTCAATGTGTTTCCATAGGAAAATAGACCTCTTATTATCCCCAGTCAAACCAACTTGTGTGCTTTATCAAGTTGCTTGTAGATGATGCAGATATGAATATTAATCACTCGTAGTAACACACCAAAATTTAAAATTCGAAACTCACCTGACCCAGAATCGGGTTATCGCTCTTATAGGTATCTAACTTCACTTGCACAAGACGGGCCAATTCGAGGTTACTCTCTGTCCTGTAAAATTTGGGGAATAAAATAAACTACCATTCAAAATAAAGAATATATATGACTAGATTCCGATGACTGTACTGTCTAATAATAACTACACTACCTGATCCAAAGAATCTGAGAAAATCAAGATAGTAAAACAGCACATCGATTGAAACTTCTGTACTTCAAAATAAGAGAGCAAAACCGCACCAAATGCAAAAACAGGAACATACGGAAAGAAACATTTATTTATTTTATTTTAGTAACGTTGTGCTCCTTGAGATGGTTTAATTTCTAAGCTCCACTTATCTTCCAAAACAACATCAAAAACACGGAATACAAACAGGAAACAGCAAAAACCTTACGAATAAACCACTCAGCTCAGAATACAACAAAAGAATACAATGATAATATTGTGAATAGTTATAAGAGCGTAAGGTTTTAAAATGATCGAAACAATATTTAATAAAGGATTTTTAGCTGAAAATATAACCGAGATTAATTTCGTTTAATTAAGGTTTATCCAATTGTTATTAAAACTGCAATAGGAAACAACAATAAGATTTCCCACCGGCTTATATTCAGACATATTTGGTAATGCTTTAAGCCGCTTAAATCAATTATCCCTAAAACCCAAACCAAAGAATCACGATGGTCTAAGAACTCTCAATCTTATACGGCCATCTTTTTCCCAGAGGGAGTAGCTGAGTGTGTCAACTACTTCATTCGTTTTGGAAGATGTCCGCTTGTCAACCAAAAGATGAGTGTACTGTGGGCTCACACAAAACCTGCAACAATTAATGGAGCACACATCTGTTTCCAATCACTTTTAAACTGTTAGCTTACGTCACATGTCCGTCTGTCATATTCTAAACAATCTGGCCGGAAGAGATAACCAAATAAGAAACAGATAGATAGAAGGACATAGCACCACAGATCTCGAATAAATAAGACCATCCCCATGCCTGCGTATATGATGTTGTGTTGCTTCAACCAATCACTAAAGAGAATTTGGGAAAGGATGAACTTTCAGAACTATCCTACGGAAGATTATTATTTACACTTTTATCACATGACAACATGTGGCTTGGATTTCTGTATTTTTATATCCTCCTATTTGTAAGCTTTCGTTTGACCAGCGAACTGTTGTTATACACATTAATGTCCCAAACTTATCAGTGATTATTTTCCTATCCCTCCGTTTTTGTATTACTAATGGATGAGCTGTGTATAGATCGTAATTTCTTATTTGTGCTGTTGTGCGATCAGGTATATCATTGTATGAATCGTGAAGAGTGGAGAACAGTAGGAATATTTTCAGTATGTGGTTGCGAAGATCATTGTACTTAAAGGAAATCGTCAACCGATCAATATCAGACCATCACTGAAAACCCGTGAGCATTGGACGGCCGCTGAGTCCTAGTATGGGATTCTTCAGCAGTGCACATCCGACCTCGCACACAGGAATCGGACCCAGGGTACTAGATCTTGTGTGCAAACACTTAACTTCTACACCATTGAGCTGGCATCCATCGGTGTTGATGTCTAACTTCAGACAATTCACGACACAGTGAGACCATCTTTCACTGTCTCTAACGGGTAACTGCCTCACATTCGACATGGGTTGGGTCCACTGGTCACGGCTTCTCACTAGTCATTAACACCGTTTGATACTGGCTCAGTGGTTTAGAAATTAGGCGTTCGGACACGAAACATAAGGTCCTGGATTCGATTCCCTTGTGCAGAATAGTGGATGTACACTGCTGAGGAGTCCCATACTAGGATGAAGCGGTCATGCAATTTTTTCAGAGTTTTAACGGTGTTTCAACTTAGATCGACTTATGATTCCAATGAGATATTTCCTTGCTAGCTTCGTCTTGTAATCAGACACTGAGTTGGAAAGAGCTCACGGACAAGTAAGTGATAAGGTCTCAGTCGCTGTTCATTGATTCCCAAGTCATCAGACCAACAAAGCAATATACGCGAATGTCAATAATTGGACTAGAGGATACAACTGTTCCGATAATAAACGACCCGACCATATGAGTCCTAAAACAAGTCAAGAACCTTTTAGACGGTACACCAAATATTACTGCAGATCTCAACTAGATCGTCTTGAACATATCATCACTACTAGTTAGTTTTATATCTCTTTACCATATCTGCTCAGAGATTATTTTATACTGGCGGCGACAATGAATGGTAAAAGATATTAGATCAGCATACACAAAGAATATCATACCCACAGTCGAAAAACTAAACACCCCTAAAATGTGACACTTAGAGGATGACTTGAAATGGTTAGAGCAGTACCGGGTCCGTTAACACTAAGGTTGAAAACATAATAACTGTCTGGAGAACGCCTTATTGGTTGAATGTTAGTGACACCAAAAGGTTATTCGGTCAAAAACTTTGAACTATGTAACAAGTAATCACTATAAAAACTGAGGATTATGGCTAGAACCAGATAGATAAGCTTGTACAAACAAAATTAAGTCCATGTAGTGTGCTTACTTTTGGTAACAAATTTTTGGATATTCTTGCAAAGTTATGCAAACAGAAGCAAGTTGTTCTGCAATTTGGTCGATTCGACTGAGTTTGTCATGAACAATATCTGATGGCAAAAAGTAAAGTTGAGCACTTTCCGTGGCTTCTAGTGAATAAAGATGAGATTCCAAGGGAATAAAATCCACCGACAATTGAATCATATTCATAATACGTCGGACTGCTTGTGAAGCAATTATCTGATTAAGTAAATCGTTCGGACAAGCTGAAAGTGGAAATTCAAATAAGCCCTTAATTTCATATTCAAAAAACCATAAATCTTAAGGATAAGAGAGATACAAGTAATTCTCTAACTTATATGTGAACGTTGCTTTCTAATCAAAAGTAATACACAGCGCACAGTCATGAAGGTAAAAAAGAAGCACCAAAAATAAAAACAATAGTAGTTATGGGCAACTACGTATAGAAAGATAATATAGGGGAATAGTACTGTGCAGACCTCAACCAGATATTCTGTATCTATCAACGTGGTTCAGTCCAATAGTTAATGGCTTCGTGAATTGGCAACATATGACCCAGAAACCTCAGGTGAAGAATCGCAGCCTCGTTAGCCGATTTTTCATATTGGCCTGGTGACATATGTCGAACCTTTGCATTGCTCACTCTATTGTTTCATGATAAGCGAGTAATGGTTTGAAAACAGCTATGATCAAAATCATGCAGTCCATGCATTTCTTGTACTTTGATCGACCGTAACTCACAGCCATCGTGTAATTCAGAGAGGACTGATGCACAGTACATCAATAGGATAACATTTATCATTGTTTAGCAACAGCTGTGATAAACACCTATGGGTTACTATGATCGCTTCTGGATTCTTTGTTTCTTTGATCTTATCAAAACGGAAGTATGAAAACATGTCAGAAGCAAGATGTAAAGAAAGCGAAGTATATCTTGATTAAAAATAAGTGTAAAGTTGAAAATTAGGGAGAGAAACACTCGAAAAATTAGTCCAAAAAGGTTTTTACAATGACAGTTGTATTGTCGATTTTATCCGATTGGAACAAAAGACAAAGATGTAAGACCAGGACTAAAACATCATCAAAGTAACTATTATGAGCTGATATACACCTTTTCCAAATATTGTGTATAACATTAATTTGCATGACTTTGATTCAATAGTTGTTGTTTTGTAGTGTTCCATTTGAGAGTGTCATAGGGTACCCAAAGTAATTTTTCTCAATTTATTTGTTATTTATTTTAACACATACTTATTGGTACAAGGGAGCACCAAGTAAATATGCACCACACAATAATAATGAGAATGGGAAGAGATAAAGAATGTAAGGTGAGTGTAAAAAGAAAAAAAGAACAATAACGACCACAAATTAGTGTATGATAGTGAAATAATAATAATGGGGGAAACAGAAAGGTACAACCAGAAATAATCCTTCTAGTTAAAGAAGTTACGGTCACTTTTTATGAAGGAAGGTAACAGCAGGATTGCCATTGGCTTCCATTCTGAGCCATATCTGATAACGTCTCCAACCACTGTGTTGCACCATCTCCAGGACCCCAACCAGGGAGTCGTGAAGGACCAACAGAAGCCAGTCCTTTACAGCTTTCTTTCATATCACGACACCATGTCATACACTGACCACCTATTCGCTTTTTCCATCCAGTCCCAGAGTCGGCAAATAATGCACGACGAAGAATCCTCTGGGACGACATTCGTAGAACATGTCCAGGCCACCGAAGTCGGTGTTTTAAGATGGAGACACCAATTTCATTATCGTCTCTGCGCCCGAACATGCGATGCCGAACCTCTTCAATACTAACATGGTGTTGCGACCGGATGTCAGCAATCCTTCGGAGACAACGATGATAAAACACAGAGAGTCGTCTAACATCCTCAACTCGGAGAAGCCAGGTTTCACAAGCATAGAGCAGAACTGCTCTCACCGACGCGTCGTAGATCCGACCTTTTACAGCCAGACTAACATCACGAAGGCGCCAAAGATCGCCCAGACTGACATAAGCCACTCTGGCTTTTACTATACGTGAATTGATTTCATCACTCACGCCATCACCAGCACTTATGCAGCTACCTAGATACACGAACTTCTCGACTACTTCTATCTGCCCACTACCCACGGTGATTACAGGATCAGGGTCCTGTCAGTCTTGTAGAAGTACTTTGTACTTCGAAGGTGCAAAGCACATACCATACCTACGGACATTGATTACCAACTGATTAAGTGCGGATTGTACGGCTTGGGCACTATCGCATAGTAAGACAATATCATCCGCCTACTCAAGGTCGAGAAGTCTTTCTCCAGGCAACAGACCTACACTGCCATTACTTACATCCATCAGAGCTGTTTCCAGAATGTCATCGATGGCAAAGTTGAAGACGAATGGTGAGACGGGGCAACCCTGCCTAACGCCACTGCTTGAATGGGACCTTGAAGAGAGGTGGTGGTATGCCCTCACTCTGCCTTAGGTGTTTGTATTATATAGGGCTCTCAAGATGTTTATAAACTTCTCAGACACACACTTTTTCAATAGACAATCCCAGAGAACAGTCTTGTCAGACGAATCGAAGGCAACCCTAACATCAAGGAACACTACGATTATTCGTTTGTGATTTATTTATTTTTATTATTTATTTTAACACATAAGTATAGGTACAGGGAGGCACCAAATACATATGCGCCACACAAATCTCAATTGATTTGTGTGAGGGCTGTGATACTGCTCGGGTGCCCAAACCGAAGCAGGTGGTTTTCTTAGGGGGCCACACCCCGAGCCTTTGACCTGAACGTCTGACCCACAAGGCAGTGGAGCATCGTGAGGAGATGCAGTCCCATGGAAGCCGGTGACCAAAAGTTGGTTCATACGCCATTTGTTCCTTCAGGATACTGGAGCCCATGTGCACCATTGGCTTGGGGTCCGGTTAAAGCGCCAGACATTCGCTTTTCGTCCTCTCATTTTTGTAAACAACACCCTCGCCACGAGAAGGCAGTGAGTAGGACTTCCCTGGCAGAGGCTATATACGCATGGCCATGTGAGAGCATTTCGAGAGGGAGAGCGGACTCTCCCCACCCTCGGCCGTACCAGGGCATTTGGGGGCATTCGTTTGTGATAAGCATGACGGTGTTCTAACATTCGGCTGAGGGTGAAGAAATGATCAATACTTCTCGACCAGAACGACAACTAGACTGCTCATCGCGAGTCAATCTTTCTCGGGTTTCGTACAACCTGCGAAGTATGGCAAAAGCCAATAGCTTGGACGCAATCGGAAGTAGACTTATTCCCCGATAGTTGTTACACGGACGTGAGCCCCCCTCAAAGGCCCTGGCACAACCGAGAGTGGGGAGAGTCCGCTTTACCTCCCGAAATGCTCTCACATGGCCACGCGTATGTAGCCTCTGCCAGGGTAGTCCTACTCACTGCCTTCTCGTGGCGGGTGTTGTTTACGAAATTGAGAGGACGAAAAGAGAAAGTCCGGCACTTTAATTAGGTTGGTCGACACGAAGAATCTACATAGGGGAGTTGGAAAACCCTGATTACAAACCAATCGTGTACATGGGCTCCGGTATCCTGATGGAACAAATGGCGTATGGACATATTATTGGTCACTGGCTACCATGAGACTGCATCTCGTGACGTTGTTCCACTGCCTTGTGGATTAGACCTTTAGGTTAAAGGCTCCGGGTGTTGCCCCTTTAAGAAAATCACCTGCTTCGTTCTGGGAGCCCGGGCAGTATCACAGCCCTCGCACTTTTGATGAGATGACAAATATTTCACAAAATACTATGCTCGCTTCGATCAGAACTCAGACATTTCACTTTCATTTGATAACATTCATCTTTATTATTATTACTATTTTTTATATACTACATCGCTTATCACTTTTTATTCTCACTTCATATATCCCCATTTCTCAACTTATACAGCAGCTCGCCCCTGGTGAAAACTCGGTTCTATCTAAACGATTCCGAGTCACTGCCTGGCCGAAAGTTAAATGCTTCTACCGAATACGAATTTTTCAACCTTTAATATTACTTTGTGCGCCAAAAGTATACACCAATCAGAACTAATTTTGACCTTCAACTACACTTAGATAGGGTTATTTCGATCAAAAATGTTTTAAAATTGTATATTCTTCGTTTCCCGCCTTTTTTCACTACTGTTGTGTTGAGCCCTTGTAAGTCAGTTTGAGGCCTAAATCGCAATTGTGAACAGAGGCTCTGTCACACGACAAACATTTGCAAGCAATCAAAAAGTGATGATTTATACCTTTTAAATAAAGTAATTTACATTCATAAAAACAAAACGCTTTTAGTTTACCGATAAGTATAAAGTCGTCCGGAATCACTTTTTTTCATTACATAGACTAATGATAAGTGGGAAAAGTTGTTTGTCCTATAAAGGAGAGACTTACAATACATTGTAAAAGGTTGAGATTTAATTTTCTACTCACTATGTAGGATATTAAAAATATGTATATTATTTTATCAATGAGAATAACTCAATGCTCAGTTCATTGATATTACTAAATTAAACTTTTATTTGAGATACATGGTCCGAGTTGTCAACCTATTTTAGGCATGAAAGCAGACACGTTGGAATATATTGGTAAGATAGGTAAAGTAAAGTAATATTGTTCTGATGTTAATCCCAAGCATACCGAAAAAGGGATACAAATGAGACATTCCTCAAGACAACAAACAGTAAATGCGAGTCTTTTTTGCATGGTGTAAGGAAATAGTGAGATGTTAACCTTTTCTGTTTCGATAGATTTTAAATTAAGCCGATTTGTCGACATTTCGCTTAGAAAAACACACCAAAGTGTCAAAGTTTTACCTCCATGTGTACAGAATTCACACAAAAATATATGCTCTTAGCCTAAATATGTGTTCATGTTTATTTCCACCAGAAAACATACGTTTAGATAGTCTAGACTCAAAAATTATTCTCGAATAGAGATTTATTTACAGGACACTTAGTCCTCCTACCAAACGACAAATCACTGAAACACTCAGTATGAATATTAATTAGTGTCATCTGTCGACTTTTTTCAAACCAATATCGAACTTCTGTAGTACTGCAAATCGAGAAAATTAGCGAGACCTTGTAGACCGTGTTTTTATACTGTTTTGTTGTTTTGAAAGTAAAACACATACCTCAACCTGGAGTTACGTCATACTAGCGGAGAATTTATCATTTATATTGAGAGTGCACATAAAAATGTACTTGACTTACAAGACAAAAAGAAAACATGTGCAGCTGAATATGTTGGATTTGATTCAGGAAAGTCTTGTAAAAGCAATTCTATTTCCTTGAGAAAAATTAAGTAGACCGACTAACTTACTGCTCTTCGGGGCCTCATGATATATATTGCGTGCATATTTAGTTTTTGACGCTTGCAGTTTAGAGATTCTACAACTAGACATTCAGTACATTACATAAACTATAGATAAACTTACGAGTTACACCGTACTCAGTTATATCTTGCATCTTGAAACATGATGACAATACACGTGTGGCTGCATCATCCATAATCAAAACCTTCCATCCGGGTGTTTTGGAAAGTTTTTCAAAAACATATTTGCGCAAAGCTATGAAATAAGGTACAATGACCAAAACAACATACAGGACCCGACCTCACTAATCAAAGACATCAGGCTCTAGAGAGTTAAACTCCTTAAGAGCGCCTCCCAATAATAAGTATTTTGACTGTTACCACTTAGTTGAAACTGCCACCGTATTGTTAACACGACCTTGAGCACCTGAAGTAACAGAGACTTCGTATTTGATGCGGTACATGTTTCTTGTCTTTCTGGTATATGTGGGATTTGGCCGAGCTAAATATTTTCGCAAACATGTTTATTGATAGATCACTATATTTATCGTGTGTTGTTTCATATTTTATAACCAATATAGACCCTGTCAACCTACGCTATTTTTTAACAGCTGTTGATCTATAAAAAGATCTACGGTTGAAAAAATGTTAAGGTAGTTTAAATGTGTCTCAATGTGTAAGAGAAGCCGAAATGTTGTAAATTCATGTTATTTGTACTAATTTATTCATACAAAAGTACAGGAAATCATAATAAACATTGGAAGCATGTGTTTGGCGTTCTTAAATTTACGTTGAGTTGTAAAAGAAACCCGCGAGTTTTCAGTCTTTACGTGGAACCATAAGAATGTCTATACCAAGTAACCTTAAGTGTCTTGTTTGTCACTCAATGATTCGAGTTGCTTTACATAATAGTGAGTATGCATTAAGGATTTTATGATAATTTACGATCATGCCTGTTTTAAAAGCTTTGTGGGTTACAATCCGCTAACGAGAAGATTTTCTTCTGGGAAAGAATAAGACCCTAAACTGCAACAAACACCTACGTTGGATAGTGTGGTTCAGCATTTCAATGATTCACTTTACAAAAGTTCACTAACGGTGACGTAGGCAATCTGAGGTCTTAGGTCGCTAAAAGTGTCTCAATAAATATTTGCAGCCTGGCTTATCTCAGAATAACTATTGAATATGTTAGGCCACAACAAGTAGATGAGAGAGTTTTATTCAAAATACGGTATTCTGAACCGACTTTGTTTGGCCGCTCATCGACAGATTGGATTTCATGAAAAGTATCCGGAAGTGGTATGCATTGATATGACATACAACACAACAAGGAAGAGTAGGAAAGTTATTTTGTAAGTACCTTTTAAGATATCCCTTGTTATTACTAATTATAATGAATTGTTGTGCTTGTGATCGTCCTATACTGTGTGTGTGAACCAGGAAACAGTTAACCTACTGTCTTAAATGTATGCTAGATGCTTAAGCTTGTAGCAACTTAGGTTGAATTGTTAAGAGTTGACTACTAACATCCTATTAGTGTCAGAACATTGTGGCTTGAGTGTTCGTTAACTCCCTTATTTTGTTCAGGCATTATATTTCCTATTATTTCATATTGAATGTCAAAAAGCTCTGTGTTTGAAAGTAAAACCTCGCTCTATATTATCCATGGACTAAATAAAGATCTATTCAATGATAGTCTGATGTCTTCTATCGATTAAATGAGAGGTATCTACTGGCACAGAACTCTAATATTACATGGGATACTCTCCACACACTTGTCATGTTCTTCGACCAAGCCGGAAGGAAGGCTGTCACGATCGGTTTACGTCTATAAGAGCTGAAATTTTGTGTAAATTGCTGATGTCCAAGTCTCGTAAACACAAATTTCATTTGATTTATTTGAGGCACAAACAAATTTCTGAGTGTAATACGGGTTCCCAGCATAGTAAGTATTGTTATAAACAACAAAAACGTAGTACTGTTCATTTAGTACTTCATGTCATCGTTACTCTGACTCAAGCAATCAAAATGTTAATGGAACTCATGTGTTGGTAATTAGGAAGTGTCAACTTTTTCCACAGGTGTATTGAGCCGGATCGTTGTCTTTAAAACTAGCAATTAATTGCTAACTGGCGTTTATGATGGAAACAGTAAACCCATTTAATTTAATTTTCCTCTGGCCTACGTAATTCATGGTCTTAAACAATTTCAGGACAGCGGCTTTCACTCTCTTAATTTTAAGAGGTATATGATTAGGTTTACCGTTAATCCCGAGACTGCACACCGTGAGAGGTGTGTATTAAAGAGAAATAATCCCAACAGTGGAACGACCATTCAAAACTCTCGAGTACGGTTTACGAAACGATAAACGTTTCTGTCAACAGAGTTAAGCTATTCATCATCTTGGAAAATTAGATTTTAAAATGTTAGACATTAACATGATGCACATCTATTTGTCGTTAAGAAGAGGATCACTATATGTCTAGATTTACCTCACAACAGGCCAAAAATGATGATCAAAAGCGTAATAACGACTAGAATCATCTTTGAGTTTTTTTGAAGAAATTTCTCCAGATTTCCCGTGAAAAATGTTGTACTTCAAAGAATGTTTCTCTCTGGAAAGCGGTAAGATGTCGGTTATTCACTAGCACTAAAGAGATGCTCGAGATAAATCTGTATGCTAAATGATATAATTTACAGTTCGTTTATTAGTTAGAGAGTAATAATAACCACGCTGATACGTAACCAACCGAAAACAGCAATTTAAACAATTTTATCTAAAATAATTAAACCGGATATGACAATAAGATTCACGCTGACTAAGTGGCCACAAAACAGTATACTGAAATTTTGGTTTTGCAACGGTACGAAAAGGAAAACTAAGTTTTATTGTCTCATATTCCCAAGTTGTTTTACCAGTTCGATTCTCATTGTCCAATACGGGTGAAAAAAAGATCTAACAAAGATTAACAGTGTCGCCAACTAAGAGTACTTTCACGATATAAGAGATAAACTGGACAAGCAACATTGTGGGGAGTAGGTAGTGTTTGTGACAATTTTCTCAGTTGGCTTTCGCTTAACGGTTTTAGATGACGACATCCCTTTTACATTATCACCGTAGGTTTCGCCTTGTTTTAGAGAGAATTCGAGATAAACATATCACAAAAACACATCCACAGCGATAATTTACTGTCCATTTATAAATTTAATTGACGAAAACATTGTTGATGATTGAAAACGCCCTTACTGAGGCAATTTACATCGATGTAGTCCATTCTCGTTAATTAAATTATTTTTAACCCTGCATTCACTTTTTGACAGTTTGCAAAATACAAATAAAATCTGACAATTTGAAATTTGGATTTTTTTTCTAAATGTTACGATTTTGCCAATCAACCATCCTTCAAAAAACGATTGAAATGGGACTGTCGACCACAAAATTTCTCCTTAATTCATCTTGTCGGATTCTTTGAATTTTGGAGGCGCTTTAGATCCTTATAATTTTTGTTAAATTCCTAGATCTATTGACTGATATCATTGGGTTAGTAAGAACTTTCTAATTATTTTTAAATTTAAAGACGACAAATGTGACAATAACCTGAGAATTTATAGTGCATATTGTATTCTATTCAATTCTACCGAGTTATAATTAAGTAGACCTTCGCTCGTGAAAAATAGTTTGGAAAGAGTCCTGAATTTGAGAAGAAGCTGAAGCTGTCAGACATCCAGGATGATGAGTTAACTAAATTAGTATTGGGCTTTTGAAGAAAAATTTGATCAGTTTCTTATGGATAGTAGCAGGGTAGATGTCAAGTTAGGAGGAGATTAGAAATATGATACTTATTGAATCGTTCGTTTCGAAACACTACTTGGCAGAGCGGAAGGTAAATAAATCAGTGATGTGATACTTTGTGTACAACTAGTTACATTATACTATAATAATACAATGTACTTCTGCCATGGCAGGTACACGTCATTTTTACAGGCGTGATCTATAAGTTACAAAAGCAGTTTGCTTAGAGTACGCTTCACAACTAGCTGTTAAACAAATGAAACCAATAAAAATAAAAGACAGTGCATCTATGCAGATGTCTCAGGGCGCTAATGTTTTAGTATTGCACTGAGTACGGTTTTTTAAATGTTTTTCTAAAGTAGCATTTCGTCCACGTTGCACACCAGATTTCTTTAAGCTGCCATTGGGGTTATGGCAGAGCAAGGAAATGTTTGTGTGATCTTTGCGGAAGAGAACATCTAATTACTCATGAAATAATCGTGGATTTTCTCATTTACGAATCTGTTTGGTGTTATTCTGATGGCTTAACCAAATTTGTAGCCGAGCTATGTAATGTATGTATAACACTAACAAATGAGGTATAAATTAGATAAACGATGTAAAACCTATATAGAAAATAGTTGTATTACCTCTACCACTGAATCCACGGAATATGTGGTTAGTAGAGGCTTATTAGACTTTGATTTTCGGAAAGAAACTAAACCTTGAAAAGCGTTTAGCCTTCTTAAAAGGGGTCAGAGTTACTAGGACGCGGCGTGGTATGCTTACGTGGGGTAATTCGAAGATCAGTGAACAGAGTTGTGAAAGGAAATTTTTCGTCACGGTACATCTCAACAAGAGTTTATGATGGATAATAATCTAAAAAGATGTCTATTTGTAATGGATACACACATCATCAAAGCTAGTGAAGCGGTTTCGGACCAGGAAGAGTTTAGCTGATACAATCTACATCATCCTAGTATTAACCCCAAATAGCCAGGAAAGTTGAAAATTGTTTTAAGTACATTACCTTTCACCAGGGTTCTTCTCATAATAGTGAGTCTTTGAGAGAACCAAATATAGTAAAGTTTGGACAAAGTTCGTGAGCGACAATATTGACTCCTGGTATTGAATAGATGTTTCATCAAGTAAATTTCCATGGGAAAGAAGCATTCCATCTGTCATGGAGAAGGAAGGTGATGTAGGACAGGAAGTAAGGGACACTTTTTGGCATTCGATCTAATTCGAGCGGTACCTACTAGGTTTATTAAATATTTTGCCGTAGATGCTTTTGACAATCTCTTGGTAAATGCTGCGCAGTAAGTTATGGAGAGACATCGTTACGTCGATTATTACTTGGCCTCTGACCATAATATTCACAAGGTTATTATGTAGCAGAAAACTTTGACTGACTCCTCAGGAAGAGTGACTTAAGATTTACCAAGAAGACAAATAATTGCCTATAATTCATCATATCGATTCCATCAGAGGTGCGGGCAGAATCTGTGAAGAAAATTGATCTTAAATTACTTCCGGCGGAGTGTACGTTAGACTTCTGAAATTATATAGATAACTTTTATAAATAAAATTCACATACCCGAGCAGTCCATAGGTAGGTCGGTTTAATATCAAGTTTATCCTCAACCAATGCTCGTTTTAGCTCGC